AGCAAAACCCACACAGAGCAGCAGCAGCAGAGATAGTGGCAGCAGCAACAGCAGGAACAGCAGCAGCAACTAACAAGCAGCAGCAACAGCAGGAAGAGCAGCAGGAGCAGTTTTAGGGGTAAACCCCTCAAAATGAGACACCATTGAACTTCTCAATCTCAAATCCTAGACCCTGGACCCTAAACCCCAAACCCTGAACCCTAAACCCTAAACCCTAAACCCTAATCACTTACCGCTTTCTTCGAAAGAGGCATTAGGATCGCATCCCCAGCCCAGCACGCCAATGCCGCTCCAGCTGCAGTCAGCATCTGCTGCTGCTACAACTGCTGCTGCTGCTGCTGCTGCTGCTGGCTTCAGCTGCCTAAGTGCAGGCAAAGTCTCTGGCCCAAAGCGGGGGCCCCACAGCACTTGCCGAGTTCGCTGCAGCAGCGGGGGGGCCTCTGGGGGCCCCCCGAGGTCCTGGGGGCCCCCCAGGGGGGCCCCCAGGGGGCCCCCCAGAGGGCCCCCCGGGGGGCCCCCCAGGGGGCCCTCTTGGGGACTCCAGGGGCCCCAGGGGCCCCACTCAGATAGTGCAGCAGAAGTGACGCAGCTGCTGCCAGCCAGCAGCACAGGGTACCGCCCCGAGACCAAATGGGGGGCCCCCCGGCCCGCAGTGGGGGGCCCCCCTGGGGCCCCTGCAGCAAAGAGGCGGCAAAGGCCAGTCAAAGAGTCATACTGGAAGTGGGCGCATCCTGCTGCTGCTGCTGCTGCTGCTGCTGCTGCTGAGCGGTTGCACAGCAACGCGCAGGCCGACCAACTCGGAGTCTGCTGCTGCTGCAGCAGGTCCGCCTCGTCCGCAGTATATGCGAAGCCAAAGTCAGGACAATCTGCAGCAGCAACAGCAGCAGCAACAGCAGCAGGGATAGGTGTGGCAGCAGCAGCAGGAACATCAGGAGCGGCAGGTGTGGCAGGAGCAGCAGCAGCATCAATAGTGGCTAGAGTGGTGACAGCAGCAGCAGCAGCAGCAGCAGCAGCAGCACGACCGCATCGTTCTAAGAGAGTGGCTGCAGCGGACTACTAGGCTGCTAGCAGCAGTAACACAGCAGCAGCAGCAACAGCAGTAGCAGCAGCAGTAGCAACTGCAGCAACAGCAACAGCAACAGCAGCTACAGAGTGTGTTCCAGATGTGCAGCAGTATACTCCCAGCTGCTGGGGTCTGCACATGAGGGTTTAGGGTTTGAAGGTGAGGGTTTGCAGACGAGGGTTTAGGGTTTAGGGTTTAGGGTTTACTGCCAGTCAATTCTTGTGAAGCTGCCAATGAAATGCCAAAAGCCCCGAGAATCAGGGAGACCACAACACGCCGAGACATGATCGAGGGTTTAGGGTTTAGTGTTTAGGGTTTAGGGTTTAGGGTTTGGCAGCTCGAAGGCCCCGACGGGGTCCCCTCTTCCAGCAGGGGGGGCCCCTGCGATCGGAGGTTTAAAGAAGTCCTAGAGAAGTAGACTTCACATCTGCTGCTGCTGCTGCTGCTGCCGCTGCTGCTCAGATTTGCTGTTAGCTGCAGAGAGCAGCAAAAAGGAACTGAAGGCGCACACAGCAGCCCCAGCCCTGAAGAAGGGCAAAGCTAAAAAAAAGAAAAGCAGAGTGTTTAGGGTTTAGGGTTTAGGGTTTAGGGTTTAGGGTTTGAGTCGGCCTCCCTCCGTTGCTGCTCCCTGGTCCGCTCCGCTGGCCCCCGGTAGTCCACGCAAACCCTAAACCCTAAACCCTCGCTGAGACCCTAAAGCCTAAACCCTCTTGAAACTCTTTAAATTAAAAATACAAATAAACCTCAAACCCTAAACCGTAAACGGTGTTTCTCTTAAACACTAAACCTCACTCAACACAGCGCCTGCGCGATCGCTGCCGACCTGGCCTGAAAACTAAACCCTAAACCCTAAACCCTAAACCTCAACAAACCCCTCAACAATATGCATTATGCTTCGCATATTGTCCCATGAAGTTCTCCAAAGTCCTCTCGAGGGTTCTACGGACCCTAAACCCTAAACCCCAGAAATCCGAGAAACCCCAGTGGTCCGCCACCCATCCCGACAACCGTAAACCCTAAACCCTAAGCCCCAAACCTTAAACCCTAAACCCTAAACCCTAAACCACTGTGCATTCGAACATAAGGGCCAAGTAAAATGCCTAAAAGCCAAACGCAGTTTCCCTCTAGGGGGGCCCCCCAAGGGCCCCTTAGGCTTCCCAAGGAGGCCCCCAGGTACCCCGTGGAGGCTCCCAGGGGCCCCCTTAGGGGCCCCCAACGGGCCCCTGGGGGCCCCCAAGGGCCCCCTTGGGGGCCCGCAAAAGATGCCAAAGGCCCCATAATGGACCCCTGGGGGCCCCCCCAAACTGCGCCATTAGGAGGGCCCCCAAGGGGCTCCCCAGAGGGAGCTCAAGGAACACTTCAGGGAGCCCCCAGGGGGCCCCCAAGGGGAGATATTTGGGCGCCCCTAAGGGCCCCCGAAGAGGGGCTAAAAGGGTTTAGAGGGGTCCCCATTGGGGGCCCTCTAAGGGCCTCCTCGTGTCAACTAAAGCTGCTTACAGAAAAGGCAGCAGAAAGGGCCCCCTGGGGGCCACCCTTGGTGACCCTCTAACAAGTACCCAAGAGGGCCCCCGTCTTGGGGGCCCCCGGGGGG